CTACCCATGAACCTCCAAGCAAGCAAGTTTGGAAGCCCTCCGCTGTCAAACTTCCTGTGCGACAAGCAAGTTCGGTGGCCCTCCAATGATAAAAAATCTTTTCGGTTGCCAACCCATCTAGATGAACGAATTCACGAGGCTGGTCCCCACAAGAACGGGTTCACGGAGCGCTTGGAATGTATCCCACAGCTACTGTATGCTTAGCACCAGAACCACGATACTAAAACACATCCCACGTTCCCCGTGAACAAGCTGCCGCATGCCTGCAAGGGTGCCAGTACACATGAGGGCGGCAAGGATGGAGTTGCGAAGCAGCTGCGCCTGTGTGCCAGCGCAGATCCACCCGTTTGTCTACAGTCTAGAGTCTTAGGGTTTAGGGATTAGGGTTNNTTTAGGGTTAAGGGTTTAGGGCTGAACCATTCAAACACCAAATCTGGAAGCGGAAACACTGGTAGCACAGAGGCCGGTCATGTGGTCCAAATCCAAAAGAGGAACAGCCTAACTGCAGCTGGCAGCACACATGGTAGCTTCAGAAAACTAGGGNNGATCCTACTATTTAGGGTCCTATATCAGGGTCCCCTATTTCTGAAACTCTCACATGGGCACCGACAAACTACCCAACATGAGCACACTTGTTTCCAAGATGCGAACTACCCCAAATGCGATAACATTTTCGCAGAGCTTACCTGTGGCCAAACGCACACGGAGAAAACCGCAAACTGAGCTGAAGAAAAATGCTGTAGGGACCTTAAGAATTAGAATAGGGTTTTGGGGTATATTCTACTAGAGTTATCATAAAGAACCCAGAAAATATTATAGGTAATTATTAAGGCCCCTATAATAGGCTTCTTTGTCATTGCAATGCAATGTCAGAATCGCAGGTCCAGTCAGCGCAAGGGCCCTAGCCAGTAAAGCCTGCACTGGGCTTTGAAGTAACCAGGGAGAAAAAAGTATAGACTTTTATTTCATAATGGTTCCTTTAAGGAACAGGTCCCCAAAAAAAGTATTGAAGTATGGTACCCCAAAGCCCAGTGAACCTAAATCCCAATTCCGTCGGCACGTGCATGAACCCTGATCACCATTCCCGAAACCAGTGTGGACACAGGCCTCAAACTCAAAGGCTCAAGGGCCTGAAGTTCTATCCAACCAAACCCAAGTAGCTACACATGGGAGTTTCCGAAAATAGGGGGTACCTTATTTAGGGGTCCTTGTAATAAGGATCCTACTATTGAGGGTGCTATATTAGGGTCCCCTATTTTTGGGAAACCCCCACATTGTGCCCCAAAGCTGACTCCAACCAGAACCACATCAACCGCCCGCAGACGCAATGTGCGATTTGTTGCCCAGCGTCAAGTTACAAGCGCAATCGCATGCTCTTCACGGAGACGATGTTGGCGGTGAACCTCACCTGCAACCGAGCCATGATTTAGGGTTTAGGGTTTAGGGTTGACCTGCTTGGAGGTCCATGGGTAGTTACAAGTGGGGTTGTAAGTCCCCTAATATGGGTTATATTTATAGTTACCCTACTTATAACCCTACTTGTAAATACCCATGAACCTCCAAGTAGGGGTTTAGGGTTCAGGGAAAGTTGGGATTCTGGATTCCCTTGCGTTCACGCTGCTCAAGGCCTAAGGACGGGAGACTCCATCTTACCAAAACAGCTACGAATTTAGGGTTTAGGGTTTAGGGTTTAGGGTACTACGAAGTATCATGGCAAAAAGAGACGACCTGCATTCAATCCCGGGTTTCTTTCATCCCGGGCGGCTTGAGAGTATCTGGGGCCTAGGGTCCCTTCTGGGGTTGCTTCTCCATGGTTTAGGGTTTAGGGTTTAGGGTTTAGGGTTCACACTCTCCTGCTTATACTTGGAGGTTCATGGGTAGTTATAAGTAGGGTTATAAGTAGGGTAACTATAATTATAACCCATATTAGGGGACTTCTAACCCCACTTATAACTACCCATGAACCTCCAAGTAAGATCATAGCATGGGCAACCGGCCTCCGAATCCCATGCGCAGGTGGGTTCAGGCCCGGGCTGTTCAGCAACGTCCTGGCTGGATGGGAGCCATCCGGGGCGGCGATGGCAGGTGCCATGAATGGCTCAATTCCCGCTTTAGGGCCTTGAATTCTAAGGTTTGGGGCCAGGAAAAAAGACAGAGCAAGCTAGGCCTTGAAGAAGACAGAACCTCTACCCTGAATTCAGCGGTTTTACTGCGTTTAGGGTTTATAGGGTTCACCTATTTGAGCCCTTTTGGGTCAGGATTCCAGCGGCCATGCTGGTCAACTCGGCGAAGGACGCTCTGAAAATGCGCTGCAGTGGACAAGCAAGGGCGCAGACTTCAAATGCAGAAATGATACCTTCGAGTCAAGATTTTCGAAGAGGGCAGGGGCCTGGCCTTAAACCTTAGACTCTGAACTCCAAGTAATGTAGGGGCCTTAATAATTAGAATAGGGTCTTGGGGTCCGTTCTGATGCTATGAACATAATAAGGAACCCCGAAAATAGTATCGACAATTACTAGGCCAATGTGGTAGAGCCGAAAGTTTTCCTCATCGAACCGTTGGACGAGCACGGCTTCCTCCACCTCTGTGGGGGAAACCTTGGCTATGCCAAAAGACCATCGGTTTAGGGTTTAGGGATCCCCACCACGCTTGGGGGGTCCGAGCTGGCACCTACATCGGAGCTTAGAGGGCCTTCATGATTGGGATTACAATTATAGGGTTCTTCTTGGTGGGTATATTCTACTAGAATAAGGAACCCCCCCCACAATAATATAGGTAATCATTAAGGCCCTATATTAACACACTTGCCTTGGCGGCTTAGGTGTCAGCAAGAGCATAGCGGCATGGGGGAGCATGGCATAGAATCCTGGCTAGGCCAACATACCCAGAAACCCCAAACTTTAGGACCCTATTAAAACCCCATATAATCTAATATAGAGTAATATAACATAATATATTAATATATAATATAGAAACTTCTTGTAAAGAACCCTAAACCCTAAAACCCGAAACAAAAGCCCCACAGTCAAGTCTGGTGGCGGTCCTTTGGCGTCGCTCAGCGCACCTGCGGCCTCCCGCGGACGAAGCGACCGATTCGCTGCATGATCGCCTCAACACATCGGTTTAGGGTTTAGGGTTTAGGGTTTAGGGTGCGTTTGAGAGTACTAAACATATTGGGGAAACATATTTGTTCCCAAATATGTCTAGTGGGTGTGTGCTTAATGGCTTTCGTGTTGATCGGGTCTGGGGTGTCCTTTGGGTGTTTTTGTTTGGCGGGCGCCTCTTCCTTCGCTTTGGGGTGTAGGGTTTCAGTGAGGGACTAGGGTTTAGGGCTTTGGGCTTCAGTGTTTAAGTTCGGGGTTGGGGTTCAGAGGCGCAGCACCTTGGGATGTAGAGCTCTGAATTAGGGTTAAGGGCGACGGGCGTTTATAGGGTTTCGGCGACGAAGGCTTAAGGGTCGGTCTAGGGGTTACGGCTTCGAGGTTTAAGGCTTGAGTTTGGATGCAGATGTGATGCGTTCGCGGCTATGGCCATGGCCTTTGGGGTTGAAAAGCCTTAGGCTTCAGAGAGGGAAGTCAGGGGTCTTGAATCTCAAAACTGCGCGCGCTCGTGTGTGTGTGTGTGTGTGTGTGTGTGCGTGTCTGTATTGCGTGGAAGTCGGGTTCGGGGCAATGGAGTGTACGGATCCTATATATATATATATATGTTTATTTATTTATTTATCTGCTTATATTCATGTATGTATTTTTGTTTATTTATATTCATGCAGCTACCAGAAGCACAACATGTAGAACGCCCGAACTTCTTGAGTTGCTTCTGTCGGGTTCGTCCAGTGCGTTGAGGTCAAGCACAGGTTTCTTGACTGAGCTTTCAGGACCTCAAAGCTTTCAAACACCTAGCGAAGCCAACAGCATGTCGCAGAAAAATCCCTTGAAGCCTAACCAACCCTAAACCCTAAACCCTAAACCCTAATCCACCTATGTACAACTCGGCTACACTAGACTGGACTATACTTCTGCCGGATCAGCCAACACGGCCCAAAGATCACCAGGTTTTCGGGAAACCGGGCAGGTGGCGAATAAAGGCCAACAAGCTCCTGATCCCTTGATACTTTCAGGTAGATGAGAACTAAGCAGAGCACCAACAATCTGAATATTAAGAAACATTACAATCATGACCGTAACAGTAATAGCATGAGGTCCGGTCCAGGCACCAAAAGATACAACAGCGCAAAACGAGCAAGAATGCACCCTAAACCCTAAATAACTGCAGTTCAAGGGGCCTTCGGCAGAAGGTCTAGACTAGCACGAGCCACAGCGCGCCCTAAACCCCACATCGGGAATAGGAGCTGATAAGGGTTTACGGTTTATGGCTTTTAGGGTTTAGGGTTTAGGGTTTTTAGTTTTTAGGGTTTAGGGTTATCCCGAAGCTGCACCGCTCAAATGAGGCAAGCTAAAAGGCTCAAAAGACAGCTACGCGCCCTTGCAACTCTTGCCGTCATCCTTTGAGACTTTCCCTCTATGGCACTAGGATGCAAAGGTCTGACTGCACCCAACTACCACCAAACCTTAACATCCTATAAAGGTTTTAGGAATGTCGAAGCGGTAATCGTAGCTATGATGCCAATCAAAGAACGACGAAAACCCATTCTGAACATTTAAACCCTGAACCCTCTGTAAATACAAGGGTCGGTAAAGGCATCCGGTCTCGATCCGTCCCATTGGAAGCTCAAGAAGTGCCGGTAGTCTTGGAGTAGGCCCTGCCTTCGCGCGATGTCCTCATAGAGGGCGATTTGGGGTAGGCTAGGGTTTGAAGGGTGAAGGCGTGAGGTGTGAGACATCAGACTGCTTACCACATTTTTTTGGCATGTTTTAAGCTTCTGCAGAAAGTGGAGCTAAAAACACTTGATCCTGAAGGCATCTGGCGCTCAGAGCATTTAGACTATGGGATCTCTGGGTATCTACGACGGTTCGTCAAAGGCTGTGCTCGCGAGTGGGACTCCAACCGAATGTTGCGCAAAGCGAACAACAAGTTCTGACTTGCATAAGACTCTGCCAGACTTGGAAACCCTGGACGAGTGGGGAAGCACATAGCGTTGCAAAGGCCCAACTCCGAACTTGCGGCTCCTCCGCGGACATTGAGCGCAGCTTCAGCAGCATGTTGATTGCAGATTGTGTGTAGTTCTCGGTACCAGGAATGACGACCACCTGAGTCTGTTTGTGAACTTCACCCTCATCCAAATCCTGCGCTACAACACCGCCACATTACTGTTTCAGCGATTTAACCTGATCTCAGCTTAAAGGCTTGCAGGAATACCCAGTATTCATGGCTGGCTCTGTCCCCTTGGCTTCAACTACTGTTGCCCGACAACTTCCTAACAGCACGTCCATACTACTCAGTATGTACGATCATTGCCTATTGTCCTATCATCTCTCGGAGCCTCAACATCTGCCTGTTGACCTTGCAAACTCGTGCTTGGCCGGATTCGGAGGGAGGAGGGTCGGGGTCGGGGTGGTGGGAGTGGGGAGGATGATAATGACGGTGCACAACCCACACCACACACTACTTTCAAAACCAAACCCTCCTCCGCCGATGTCGAGGCTTTGGGGATCTTCCCGAGTACGGGTTTTATCGCTCTCCTAGCACCTTTGCTTTAGCAGCTTCTTCCCTGTCGCAACTCTCGTCGCAGCTTTGGGGCCTGAGCCTCTGCAACTTCAGCCCCGCTGTGACAGGTAGGGTGAGCCTCTATGCAAATTCAACCGCTGCTGCCCTGCCCAGATTTGGCAAGCGTACTGTGGTTGAGAGGGGAGAGGGTGGCTGCTAGTAGCAACCGGGTAGTAGCAGCAGTAAGCAAGTAGCAGCCTCCAACACTGATGCAAAGCCTACCGAATTTCAAGCCTGTGCCGTCAAGAGTAACTGTGTCCAAGCCCCGTTATTGCTAGTTTTGCCCCATACTTCCCAGTTTGACAGCAACAGTCTGATCCTCCTGCTTCTCCGGGACCCTACTACATAAGTCCAAACCCAGCAAAGAAAAGCATCGCTGAGGCCCCCTGCAATGTCTTCGTAAGGGATGTCCTGCAACCGCTGGCATCACTTGACCAAACCAAGAAGCAGCTGCATCTCGAATTCTCCTACAAGTACGTCTTTGCATTCCCCGCCCCCCCCCCCCCCACCCCCCAGGTACCTACTAAAAAAGGTACTAGAGCCCCTAGGGCCCTATATAGTAGGCACCTGGGGGGTTAGGGCTTCACGGGAACTTAGAGTCTTCCGTCCTCTGGGAAAGGCACCGAGAGCTGGAACGGGGATCCGTCCTCCATCCACCAGCTCCTGCAGCAGGAAGCTCCTAGTCCTAGGCCCTGTGCCTGCATAGGCTTGGGGGTGTCAGCGTTCCTTGGAAATGAGACTAAGCCGAGGATGATGCAGTTCCCAAGAGGGGTCTACAGTCATACTGATGATGTCGAAGCAACACTTTGGGGCTAGCCTAAACCCAACTTGCTCTATCTCCTTGAGAACCAAGTCCCTCAAAGCGCCAACTCTCGATCGACAGTTGCAACACTGCAGAGGGAATGAAGTCGATGCCTTTTTGGTCTTGACCGGTGTGTACACAGCCTCATGGGAAACGCATGACGTGAAGAATGGCCATTACGCAAACTGGGCATTCGCCTCCGAGGGTGAATGCTTCAGACATAGAAATTTCTGGGGCCCCTTGAGGGCTGGAAGCTCGTGGTTGTTCGTCTGTGCCCGAGTTCGCCTCGTTCGCCTCCATCGGGAGAATACTTATGTTCACACCGGTGCTTTGGCGAAGCGGCCTGAATTAAGTAGTATATAGTATACATATTATATATATATATAGTAATAGAAAATGGTGGTTGACGCACAAATTGCGACTCTTCCCTGCAACCAGCCCCCTAAGCCCCACCTCTGGCCGTGCATGTAGGAGGGGAAATCGAAAACGACCGGGATGCAGCCCGCCAGGAAAGCCTAACGATCTATGCTGGCGAAGCGCAGGTTCAAACATTAGGCAAACAGCAGGATTGGACAAAAGCTAAAGCGCACAAGCACAGGCGTTATATACATATCACTCAGACAGCGCCCACACTCAGAAAGGCAGGAATGGCAACGGAAGGTAATGCAGGTCATAAGTCATCTAGTGCATAAGCCAATGCGTATCTATGCAAACTTGTATAGTTAACCGTTCTAAATGTGTACCTCCTTCAAAACAACATTGCCGGCAAGCCGCTTGATAGAATTTGTGCCTGAGGCAGCAGGGAAGATCAACATGGATCAATGGCACGGCAGGGCTTCAAGCGCTTTCTCGGAGACTTCGTGCGAGAGCGTTTGAGTCTGTGATCCTTGGACTAAGGGAACTTCGGGCAGTGAACCAAAACCGGTTTGTCGATACATCGATACATGTTGCAAGGATTCCGGACACTGGGCTGAACGCGTGGGCCTCGCATGAACTAGATGAAGACCATGTCAAAGTCAGTCAACTCCAAAATCCAAGGCACTGGCAAATGGTCGAATCTCAGAACCAGATTGGGGAATCTAACTGTAATGCTCGCTCCATACTGAACAAGAGATCAGAATACTTCTCAACCCCAAGCCGCAAATTCTTGGCATCAAGGAACCGATGCGGAACGTCGCCAGGGCCCATGGGGCAAAAGACCGTTTCTTGCATCACTTGTATCACGTCGATGGCACCCTCGGCAAAGCGTCCGGAACTGACGCTATCTGGTGTACTGTCTGGGCACGGACAATGGCAGGATTAAACTCAGCGGTGACCTAAAAGGTCTTTCTGTCCCTACTTGGAGTTTCATGGGTAGTTATAAGTAGGTACTTATAACCCATATTAGGGGACTAATAACCCCACTTATAACTACCCATGAACCTCCAAGTATGCAGATGCCACAGTGTGGAGACCCGGGTTCCGAACCCTGGAACCGTGAACGCAACAGCAAGGAATGCTCGAGGGACCCAGATTCAGATTTACTGTTTTAGATGTCTAGAGGCTTGTTTTTTTGGCCTTGCGTGATACACTTTTACGTGCATGCATACATGCATGTATGCTTGCAGCATGAACGCCCACAGCAACGTTCAGAGACAGCCATCGAAGCAGTCTCATGTAGACCGCCCTTGTCTAGACACATGTTCTGCTGCAGAAGTGGCTCAGCATGGATGCCATGATAAAACAAGACATGATGGTCGCGCTTAATGCACATCGAAGGGAACTGTTGCCCTCCGTCTGTTCAGATAACCCAACTGCCTAACGTGAACGCACCGTAGCAACAGCCTCAGCAACAAAAGCATGGACTACTGCTGCTGCTACTACTTACCACTGCTACCACTGCATCTGGCTGCTACCACCACCACCACCACGACTACGACGACAACAACAACAACAACTACTACTACAAAAACACTGTTCATTAACTATCACTACTACCAATTCTGCTAAGGACTACGCCTACCACTACAGTACTAGACCTGCGACACCTGAAAGACATACCAGGCCAACAAAAACTACTAGACCTACAACTGCTTCTGCTGCTGCTGCTGTTACTACCACTACTACTGCTGCTGCTGCTACTACTACGACGACGACGACGACCACCACCACCACACTACTACTACTACTACTACTACTACTACTACTTCTACTAAGTCCTGCAGCAACGACTACTACTACAACGACGACGACTACTACTACTGGCGCTGCTGTTGCTGCTGCTACTGCTACTGCTACTACTACTAATCTACTAGTACATATACGATTACTGATACTACTACTACTACTACTACTACTACTACTACTACTACTACTCTGGTTTTCATTGCCGCTGCAACAACTGCGAAGTACGACTACTCGTTCTCAATGTGCCCAAGAATGATACAATATTGCTGGACCAGCTTGTGTACCGGCTCCCTTTTTTCAACCCTGGGTTTCTTGACACAAGCGCAAATGCTTCGGCTTCAGCCAGGAGACATTATGTGATGAACCATGCGTCTTCTTGGACATCTCCTTGGCTGCGAGGACACCATCTTGAAGACTCAAGATTTAGACTTGAGGCTGAAGTTGAGGATTTCAGGGTGGGTTCTAGGAATGCTAACTCGTTACGGTCTGCGTGATGCTATGTACCACATATTGCGGCCGGGCAGATTGCACTCCGCCACGTTGAGCTACTCCACATTGCATTACAAAAGTAAGTTTTATAACGCTAGACTGAACAAGATTACATTACATCACAGCACAATACATTGCATCACTCAGTATTGAATCATGGTACATCGCAGTAGCACATCACATCACATAACACAGCGCACACCATAAAAACTAAACCCACCCGGAATGCATGCTTACATAAATGCTTGCATACGTACACATACATACACATGCTAATACATACACATACACATATACATGCATGCATGCATACAACCGTTCATACATACGTGCATATGTACATACATATGTACATGCATACCTGCATGCATGCGTGCATGCATGCACGCATACGTACACATACATACACATACGTACATACATACATACATACATACATACATACGTACATACATACATACATACATACATACATACATACATACATACATACATACATTACATACATTACATACATAAATACATGCATACATTGGCATACATATAGACATACAAACACACATACACACATACATACAGAAAGACAGACAGACAGACAGACAGACAGAGGAACAGACAGACAGACAGACAGACAGACAGACAAACTTACCCACACACACACACACGGGATACATACATACATACATACATACATACCTACATACATACATACATACATACATACATACTTCCTACATACACACATACCTGTACATAAATGTGCATCGACATCTGTCTGTCTGTTTATATAAATATGTGCCCGTCCATCCGACGATCGATCTGTCTGTCTATCGATCTGTCTATCCATCGGTTCGTCTCTACGCTTACCCAGAGCCAAACTGACAAAGTTCCTAACTATCTGTCTATCTATTCATGTGGCTTCTCATCTCTCTGTAAGTAATGCGCACTGGTCTGGCGGAGAGGCATGCAAGCTCGACATTAACCAGATCCACAAAAGGACAAAGGGTAGCATGATGTCTTCAGAACTGTCCGGCCAAGCGGTGGCAGAGGAAGTGCGACAAATGGATTCTCAACAGACTTCTGTCACACACTATGAGAACATACTGTGGTGGATGAGGGTAGACGGCCCGATAAATCTTCATAAGATGCCATGGTGGGTTCATGTAAGCCAGGCATCGATGCCCTTGTGCGGTGGCTCGCGCCATCGCTTCTCCACCACGCACCTGCAAGGGGGTTTGGTAGTTTCGGCGGATGTGGGGTGAGCGGTCAGGTTTGGATCGTCTTGCGCTCATCATTCTGACTGCCTTAGTTAATGGTTTCCATAGTGGTTGCTTCTGAATTCCATCAATCATGACTCCATCCTCATTCTCCTCCTCATCATCATCGCGGTCATGTGGTCGTCGGAAGTGTCAGCCGTCTTCACCATCAAAGATTTGCAAGTAGTCAGTGTGACAGCAAAGTCTAACAACAACGAACGATCTTATTCTTTTTTCATCATCCCCGGAAATGGCCATGTTGTAGCATGAAGGTCTGGGGATCTTTCCATCGAAACAGCTCAAAGAGTTCAGACACAAATGCACGGCGTTGGCACAGTCTATGCTGCAACTGCTGAATTACTAGCAGCAGTAGTCGTCGTCAATTGCGGTTTTCCACCCCTCAATGCGCGCAACATATCACTTCAGTGCCTAAAGAGCGCAGACCCGAGCTAGCGGAGACAGAACTACTCAACCACGAAATTTCCATGCTCCAACAAGGAGCGCCAAATTGCTGAATCTCAACTCAACCAGCGCGAAATTTTGAAGTGGCTGTTGAAATGAGACACGAAGATCCACAAAGTGATCGACCAAGATCGCTGGTCAGCACATCCTGGGCACACGGTCAGCTAGATTTAGGGCAAATTCGGTGCATGGAGGGATTGCAACCGCAGTGCTGTTCTATATCGCAAGGGGTGTACTGGGTGTTAACCGTTCCCGAAGAATGCACCAGCAGAACGACATCCGGAACACTTTTCAATGAAGGGGGGCCCTAGTGTTGTTACTTGCGGCCACGTAGGTTCGGTTGTTCGTAAGAGTTGCAACATTTGACAATCGGGTTCACGCCGAACTCCGTCAGAAGCCCTTCAAAGTGCCGTACCGAACCGATTCTTCGAAAGAACTGAAACCCGATGATTCGGGGATCTGAAGAGATGCTACAAGCACCACGAGGGACTGCATCCGTTGCCGCAAAAAACCGCTGCTGCATGTCGGGCTAACGTAGGCGCAGAAGGCACCTCCAGAAACCAAAGCATCACTCTCAAGTTGGGGCAGTTTCCGAATGAACAAATGGCGATGTCCGATAAACGCTGAAGTCGCTGAAACTCACAGATTGATTAAATCGCAGCGGCAGCCGTTAAATTTGTTTACAAGTTAGCTGCCTGCATACGCTTAGAAAGTGTATGAGATCATGCGACGCATATCGCGCATGTTCAAGAGGATCAAAAGAAGGCTCAGCGCTGGGACGCCTTGACCACATCCTT